GCTACGCAGAAAAGTTGTTTTGCATTACACTGAAACGCGATAGCAAGTCAGGAGGGCTCAACCTCAAGGTAAGTAATTTAACCCTCAGAGCCCCTGTGCAAGTGAAACTTCTTTATTATCAGGTGTGAGAGGTGCTGAGGAGCCAAGAGAGGCCCATGCTGCGTGCTGAGCTGTGTCTAGGCGCTGTCTGGGAGGTGCCGGTTGGCAAAGGCTGGGACTGTGCCAGCGTGTCTATGCTCAGCCAAGCAGGGCGAGTGCCTGTGTGCCAGCATCTGATCCTTTTACTGTACAGTATGGATGTAGCTTTTGGGTCTTCTGGCTCAGTATTAAAGCTTCCAAGTCCTGCTTAGGTGCTTTCCATTTGTATGCATGGGAAACTACCAATTACCTTGGTCTATCTGGGCCTTTGAGAATAAGCAGAGTGAGGGTCTCAAGTCATCAGGGCTGTTTCTGCTTTGAGAGTTGTACTGTTTCCTCATCCCATTCAAAATCTCAGATTGGCTGAACTCCTGCTAACAAGAAGGGTCTTACCACCTGAAGACAGGTTGCCATGGCAAGACGAAGAGAAAGCATCAGAAGGTTGTTCATTTGTGTCTAACTATTTAATTGCCATAGTAGCCTTTGCAATGCTTTATCCTCTGGGGGAGGGGGAAATAATCAAGAATTTGTGTTGAATGTGCAACCCTGCTTCCTCATGGCTGGCATCTTTCTTAGCAGGTGAGTCATTCCTCCTATGGTCAAATTCTGTGTCAATTCTACCCTTTAAAATAAATGCCAAGATAAGGTAATTATCAACACAAGCATTCTCTATACTGTTTATATTTCATGTACAACATGGTATACCCAACCAAAACCCACAACAGTCCTGGAGATCCAGATAAAGGAGATTGTATTGTTGCACGTCCCCAGATTAGAGAATCTAAAATGCTAGTGTGCTGCACTCACACATCTTGCTTTGGTCCTGATTCTGCAACTGACTGTTGGGTCTGGTCCTCAGGTAACTTGAGCTGAAGGTTTCCATCTCCCAGTTCAGCATCACCACGGGTGTAACATCTTTGCTGCACAGCTGACTATTGGCCTCTTGTGCACTTGCCCAGATACTGGTTTGCTGGGTGAAGGGGAATTGAGGGCTGTAGCCCACCTCTTGGTAGCACTGCTGGTGGTGTCATCATGCCCTGGGCTCCGTGAAGAAGCAGCACTGCTTTGGGAAGGGGCAGGAGCAGGCTCTGCTGACAAAAATCTACAGGTGTATGCTCAGCATCTCACTTCAGTTGTCATTCATGCTTCCCCTCCCCTTACCTTCCATGGCAAACCCCACGCAGGATCGCAAGGTATGTGGCTGCAGCCAGGGCTTGTGGGCAGCTGAACCACAGCAGAAAGTGCTGGGGCGTAGGAGACATGCCAGTGCCAGCTGGTGGGGACTGGGGCAGTTGGTCGACATGGAATTGGGAGTCTTGGAGAGGATTATGCACATCAGGCAGAAACAATGAGAGTTAGCTTATGAAATGGCAGAGAGGCAGTTCATGTGGCTCATGGAATCAATGAACATTTTAGGTTGGAAAAGACCTTTAAGACCATAAAGTGCAACTGTTACCCCAGCACTGCCCAGCCCAGCACTGACCCATGTCCCCGAGCACCTCGTCCTCACCTCTCTTAAATCCCTTCTGGGATGGTGACTCCCCCCTCCCTGGGCAGCCCATTCCAACGCCTGACAGATCTTTCTGGGAAGACATTTTCCCTAACATCCCATCTCAACCTCCCCTGGAACAACTTTTGGCCATTTTCTCTTGTCTCATCACCTGTCCCTTGGGAGAAGAGACCAACCCCCCACTCTGAGCAATAAGGTCTCCCCTCAGCCTCCTCTTCTCCAGCCTGAACACCCCCAGCCCCCTCAGCTGCTCCTCACAGGACTTGTGCTTCGGACCCTTTCCAGTTCTGTTCCCCTCTCTGGACACACTCCAGCCCCTCAGTGTCTGTCTTGAGTTAGACTGCTGGATGAAATCAGTCTTCCAAGCAGATGCCATTGTTTTCAAGTGTTGTGGGCTTGTTTGTTTGTTTTAATGTTTTTATTATTATAATGTTAAACACTCTTTTGCTGTATTATCCTGGCACTGGGAGAGAAATAGTCCAGGGAGGAACCCCAGAACTCCTGCCCAGTGTGTTTCTTATGATTCTGGTATCACCCACCTGTGTGCCAGAAACAAGAATGCAAAAAGACTGCTTGAAAAAAATTTGTGACTTTAACAGCATTTATAATTGTAAAGAAAAAAGAAAACAGTTACAATAAGATAAATTAGTCCTGTTAGCAATGACTGCTTTATGAATGATAATGGGAAAAAGCATGATATTCTGACTGATACACAAGTTACCAAATAACTGTTATTTTACATAGGTTGATGGGAAGAATGAATCCTCTGGATAGCGTAGAACGGAGAATTAATTCTGTATGGCACGCAAAGTCTTTCTAATGGCTGAGACATGGGCTTCATCTTTTGTTGGTTGTTTTTTTTTTTTCTTCCGTGCATGTGGTTTCTTTAGGGTACTGACAAAATGTCCCTGTTGCTCAGCAACAGCAAGATGAAATAGCACCAGTCAGAGGAAATCTGCTGATTTACACTGAGCATAAAGTGTGTGCTCTTACCCAGGTGCAGGTTTTGACATGAGAGTGAAAGCTATCCGTTGCCTTCAGCCTCTGGCATCAGCTGCTCTGTGTCTCTGGGGCACACACCACCCGGGGTGGGGACAGTTCAGACCAAAAGCTGTGATTTCCCATCACAGTTTGACAAACGGAGAGGTGCATCCTCTGGACAGAGCATGACCTTGTCTAACCACTGTCTGGAGGTCCATCCAGCATCTGCCCTAGGAATGAGTCCTCATGGGGTCTGGAGGAGGTTCCCAGCCCCAACCGTAGCTCTGTAGGCACAGCACGGATTGTGCCTCCCGTACAGAATCAGACTCTGTACTTGTACATTTAATAAGATGTTGATGCAGCAAAATGCCATAAGTGCAAACAGCAGAAGTTAGAAGTTTCCTAAATATCCCCCATACAGTGATTTCATAATTTCATTTTCCAATGTCTCCTAAATTATTTATTTAAGAGACAATCTGTCTTTGGAAGAGCTTAGTGATGATAAATAGAGGACAACTTATACCAAATGGAAAAAAGTATGAATATTTGTTTTAAAAATTAACTCCACACAATATTATGTCGACATTACTAAGTAAAAAATAATAAATGGTACATTTTTACAAGCGATCTCTGGAGTGTCAGTCATACAGAAATACTGTCAAACATCTGAAAACCTAACACTTTGCCAGAAAATACTGCCAGCAGTTCATCCCAAGATGTTTCACACAGATATTTTTGGCGTTCATAAAAAGATACGTTTTTTCTCCCCAACCTCAAAAATCACCATTAGAATATTCACAGGCTACTTTCTATTTCCTCTGCCACAAGAGGAACAGGTTTTGATCTACTTACCCAGGAGCAACAACCTGGTCTAGTGGAAGGTGTCCCTGCCCATGGCAGGGGGGTTGGAACTGGATGGGCTTTAAGGTCCATTCCAACACAAACCGTTCTGTGATTCTATGACACTACTGCCCGTAGGCTGTTGCCAGCTGAAGGATGTGGAGTATTTGTGGGGGAGATGTCAGCTGCATCATGAGATGGAGCATTTTGATGATCCAGGTGGAGAGGTGGCTGAGGTGACCCCCACTGCAGTGACCAGCAACGTTGTGTGCAAGGTAAGACTTCTCCTCCCTTCCCTGCAGACCCAGGGAGCCTGTGCAGAGGTGGCACAAGGCGGGTCTGCTGCAGAGCTCTGCTACGTCGGCCAGCCCTCCAACCATCCTCTTCCCATCGCGTGGCAGGAGGAAGCATCAGAGCAGCAACTTCAGCAGCAGGCTGGGACAGTGCCCCGTTCTGCTGCTTGATATTTGTGGGCTGGGGGGGACAGTGTAGGGAGAGGGGGTCAAGAAGATCAGCTCAGATTAGTTCTACCTGTGCACTGACCGAACTGAGCCGTCTTATTGCATAGGAAAGGGACAGCAATGCCTTTGCTGCCATCCCCTCCTTTCTTAACCCAAGAATCAAGTATTAAAAAAAATGAGATTAACATAAAATCATGAAATTTCTTACCTTTTTTTTTTTCCCCTCTGCAACTGGGTAGGCCTGAAACATTTTTTTCTTCACAAAATGTTAGAGCTTAGTGAGGAATAAAAATTCCAAAAGCTGAGGCTTATAGACAGCCCCTCCCTGCCATTATTGTGATTTTTATCATAAACTTTCCAAGTGTTGGCAACACTGCCTGATATTTACCTTCTCCACCTCGTGTGTGGTGATTGCTAATACGCATCTCTCTCCACCAGACTTGAGAGATCCTCCAGGCAGAATCCTTCGCCACCTATTTTCTACTTAGCAAAGGGTACTCTTTATTCCACTTCTCTGCTACTATAAAGCTCTCTAACATGCATCCTATTGCTGATGTAAGCTGGTTTTAGCCATAAATTAGGAGTCCCATCAGATGCTGTGAGATGTTCTGCTTTTTATTGCTGTACGTCAGATTGCTTGTGACTTAGATTTCACAAACAGATTTTATTTTTTTTTTCCCAATTTCTAAGTCGTTTCCCCACTGCTTAAAGTTCAAGTGTCTGTTCAGGCATATGTGCTTTATAATCGTTACTGATCGGCTTTGAGAAAGGTCGTTCCAGCACAGCACAGTGCCCCCTAATCAGGATAGAACAAACAAATGTGGTAGAAAAAGTCTCTCCACTCAGAAAGCTGTGATGGTTTTTTTTGGTCTTTTGACTTTGTGGCACACAATCACATTTTCTGGGGAAACACCTTTCACTCTTGCCTTAAAATCTGCAAAGTATCTCTCTTCTTGGGTGTTTATACCTAACAGCAACACCTTTGACGTTTCTTCATATTCAGATAATAAACTCGGTTGGCTTCTGGATAGGTGACTTTGGAGAGTGGCAGCTTGTAGATGGCAGAGTTGTTTGTGGTTACTAACAGAAAGGTCAGCACAGACAAGCAAAAAGGCCAGGTTCCTGATGGCACCCCAAACTGCAAAGAAAAATACAAACCGCGTATTTACCATGTGCCTTTCTTGCATTTGATCACCCAGCCCTTGAACACAACTCAGACCCAGCTTGGAACAAGCTTCCTCAAGGAAGTCTTGACTTGGTTTGGCATGGAGTCTCTCCCCAGGGAGGCAGGATTTCTTCATGAGATCTCAATGTTGTGCATTAACCTGTAAGATCTGCCAGCTCTGGTGAGGCGGCTTCCTTCTCTTTGTGCATCAGCAGTGACCTTGGATGGAGACAAGAGGAATGGACACCAGCAGCATCCAGCTTTACCCTGGGCTGTTGTGCTCACTGACACTTGGTACTTGGGCAAAGCAATTAAACCAAATTAGGGGTTTCTTTACATGTGTGGAAGGCCCTTTTCTCCATCGCTTCAGGCACAAGGTGTAGACATACAGAGGTGTTGAGGGCTGAACTGTGGAAGTTCATGTAAGCTCTGAGGGTAAAAAAGTGGTAAGGGATGACTGTAAATGGCCTGTTTCAGTGGGAATCACACCAAACCCCTGGGCAGATAGCGTTCCTTCTCCCAGGTCAGTTCTGCCTTTGGCTGAATTATTCTCTGCATTGTGGTGTTTTTGCCTGACAAGCCAGGAAAATACACATTGTTCAAATCTATTGTTGGAAACAAGACCTTAGCTGATATACTACTTACCACAGACAACATGTTAGTCACTGCTGCTCCCAGGTAGGCACTGAAGAGCGCTGTGGAAAAGAAAGATAATTCCCAATGAGCTCAGTTGCTCGTGGAGAACAGCGAGGACAAACATCTCTCACACTGTCTTGGGCAGCTCAACCAATGTTTATGACCATGCCTGGACAGCCTCCTCTTAAAGCTTTTTCCTTTGCACTGTATCCCCTCCAACCTGGAACTCATGGAAAGAGCAAAACAGAAAAAGAAATGGAGTGATGAAAAACGTGACTATGGAAACAGGCTTTTGAAAAATGTACTGATGTGGAAAGTATGTAGCTTGATGGATGGGGTTAAATAGGAAAATAACCCTTCCACCCCCAGTTCTCCTGCCTCTAGGGCTAGAAGGTGGGTCAATGAGATACAAAGCTAAATCTTTTTTATATGAGCACTGAATGAGCAATAGTTTCCACTCTCAGCTCACTGAGATATTGAAATTTCATATGGAATTGCCTTATAAATAATTCTTCAATCCTTCTGTGTTGCCTAGCTCGTGCCTTTAGTATCCATTTCAATAGACCGGGGAATCTGTACTGTCTAACTCCAGGTACAAACTGAGCTTGAGCTCCAGTTTTCTCAAAGTTTATATAGGTCCCTCTCCAGAGAAGGAATTTGAGCTTGAATATATGATTGGAAAAAACAACGTGATGCATCCAGCAACACTGAACAAACAAAATCAAGGCCTCAAAACTAAGCATCTGATTACAAAGGCCTTAGTTAATCAGTGTTCATTGATTGCATCTCTTGTTTTGAACACCGCGCTTGGCTGAAAGCGAAAGCACTGCTTTTATTTTGCCAGAGTACGTTAGAACAATGGCTCCAACATCCAGCTCCATCATCTGTCAGTCTCACCTAGGTCCATCTGCCTGGCTACAGGTGGCCGTCTGGCTTCACCCCACCTCCAGTATCAATGCGTCACGTCTCACTTCAAAAGAAAACACGGCAGTAGTGAAAACCCACAGGGTACGTACCACAGGCAATTGCCAGCAAATGTGTCTGCCAGGTGAAAGCGTAGAACTTGCCTCCGATCGCAACGCATGAGAGGGAGCTGTTGTAACCCCACAAGCCGGAGTAGATTTTGCTAAAAGGTGTTGCTAAGCTCAGTGCTGCAAAATAAGTCAAAGATGTGTCATTCCTTGGCCAAAGAGATAAAAGCAGCTGAGAAATGGCATGAACCCAAGATTTTAAGGGCTCTAGTCTGCATATGTGCATGGAGTTCCTATTTGTAGTTGCTACACATCAAGACTAAAGCCACTTTAATGCAATCACGGCAGAATTTTCCTGGTGCTGCTGAGATAAATTTGGCCATGCAATTTCAGCAGAAGATGCATGAGTTGGATGAGCATACATGTGAACTCTAAATGCATCCCTGAGGCCTGGCTGTTCAGACTGATGGCTATGGTTTTTATTAAGCTGCTCCTAAAATCATCAGAATATATCCAGAAATGAAGTATTTAATGATAAAAATTCTTTTCAGACAAAAATACACTTCTTTCTTTTGAAGATTTCTGCCATCATAAAATGAAGTAAGAGAAAGGGGAAGTCAATCAAAAGAATTCTTAAAACGGAAGTGTGTATGTGCTGTTTTTTTTTTTTCAAGCAGTCATTCTCCAGTGGAAGAGACATTTGTGACTGTAAAGGCTCCAGTGACTGTGGTTCCTCTTTTATTCTCCATGCTTTTACATAAACCTGTGACACAAGTCAAATCCTTACCTGCCAGCATCCCCACTGCTGATCCAATTGCCGCGTGCAGACAAATAAGCGGAGAAGAGAGAAACAAAGCAATCAGGAAAATTCCCCCAGTCCAGGGGTTATCGCAGCCATAAACCTGACCCACCCCGGCCGGAATGGATTGCAGGAGCTGCGTGAATTAAAAAAAGAAAAAGGCAATTTGTTATCAGACTTGTAATTATTTTTTTCTAACCTTTTTTCTTGGCTAGGTTTGTGTTTGGCATTTGTTGGATGCCGCCTCTCTTTCTGGACTGTAAATGGAAAGTCTCGGGAGACAGCAGGGCATTTCCTCAGGGTTTCCCCTGCGATGAAAATGAGTCATGTCTTGTTCCCTAGCCATGAGCTTCTCTGCCAGGTTTTTGCTCTGATATCAGTGGTAAATGTCTTTGTGAAAGGCTTTTCTCACCACCTTTACACGTGCTGCTGACCCGGTCGTTTTTGCATGCTGTTACGGAGCGGGACAGCGAACCTAGGAAATGGAAGTGCTCAGGTATATGATGCCTTTGAGAAGACATTCACCTCTAAGTAGGCAGATCTGAGGATGAAACGGCCGATAAAGCTTGGCCGGGACTACAAGACCTTACACCAGTAAAGCTATATCCCTGATGTATTTATGTGTCTGAAACTCCCTTGAGATTCACTAGGAATGTAAATGCATAAGAGTTGCTGGTTGATGGGACAGAGTGCAACTTGTCCCCAGTTTAGAGATGGTTTCAAGACACTTTAGAATCATAGAATAGATTAGGTTGGAAAAGACCCTTAAAGTCACCCAGTCCAACCCTTAACCCAGCACTGCCCAGCCCAGCACTAACCCATGTCCCTGAGCACCTCATCCACATGGCTGCTAAATCCCTCCCAGGACGGTGACTCTCCCACCTCCCTGGGAAGCCCCTTCC